TCTTCAAGGCAAGCTGCCGTCCATTGAGAACAGACTTCCGAAACGGGTCTGTCTCCTTCTTCAGATCAGCCTTGGCGCGTTTGCGCGCAGACAACAGCGACTCCAGAATGAGAGGCAGCAGGCCTTTGCGCACTTTGTTCTGTTGCGGCACAGATGGACAGGAATGGAGGTTGGGGAGGGGTGTGTGCGTGTGCGTGTGCGTGTGCGTGTGCGTATGTGTATGTGAGTGTGTGTGTATGTGTGAGTGAGTGTATGTGTGAAACTCATGAATCAATGCTTGCAAGGAGTGTCTCTATATTATGCACACTAAACCTTCCCATTCTGCACCACAATTCACACACCTCCACCACCGGTTGTCCACTCCCCCGCACCCCTGACCTTGACAAAGTAATCGCCGTTTGGTGTCTTGATGTAGTCGTCCGGGTGGAGGTGGCTGCGTTCCTGCGGCGACAGCAGCGTCGTGTAGCACAGGTTGTGTGCCATCATGATGGACGGATACAGCGAGCTGAAATCAAGCGTCGCAATCGGCGTGTCATAGTACCCTGTGCAGCAACGCGACACGAGGTGGTGAACGAGTGGTGGTAATGTGTGGTGAAAGTGAGTGAAAGTGATGATTGTGCAAGAGAACAAGAGATGACGGTCGCGAGTCAATCGTGCACAACACCATCAGCAATTGAAGAATGAATGCATGCATCGCGCACACGGCATGGCATGTCTGTGTGCATTGCTGCGCAACTGAGTGTATGGCCAACCAACCTCTCTTGGGCTGGATAACGGTGGCGCCTTCGTACTGCTCATCCGAGCCCTGCAGTTCGGCGTTGGTGCATGGGGTGGAGACGAAGAGACACAACAACACACACACACACACAATCAGAGATGAATAACTGAAGGCAGTGAAAGACGGGTGTTGATAAGAACTGCACCCAACTCCAAACACACACACACATACAGACACACATAAAACACACACACAACCCCCCTTTCACACACACACACACACACACACACACACACACACACACACAAACACACAACCCCCCCCCCCCCCACACACACACAACACATCCACACAACACAAACAGCGCACCTGGCGTTCGTGGACGGGGATGACGAGGTCGTGCTGGCCCGCGTGGCGCATGAGCTGCGAGATGACCTTGATCTGCTGCCCGCGGCTCAGGAGATAGCTCAGCGGCACGCCCGTCACACGCGCCATCTCCATGTAGTTCACCACGCACATCAGCTTCGACAGCAGCCTGTTTGTGCGTGTGTGTGTGTGTACGTGTGTGAGGGGGAGGACGGAGGGAGATGAAACAGGGTGATGGCCGCAACAACAGTTCTTCTTACACACACACACACATACCCACGTACACACCCACGTACACACCCACACCAACACACCCAAACCCACACCCACACCCACACCCACACACACACACACACACACACACACACAGACACACACACCAACATACACACACCCGCACACCTGAGGGGGAGGTATGCGTCCTTCATACAGTAGACAGCAAGGCGACGGCGCGTCTCGTCATTGCCATTCTGCAGATCCGTGATAATCGAGTGGTGCACGTCCTCCTTCTGCTCGCTGAGAAAGTGGGCGGAGACGCTGTTCAGCGTGTACGACCGCAGCTTGTAGTCGCGCTGAAGAATCTGCAAAACGTCGAGCGGGACACGCCCCTCCATGGACGTCACTTTGCTCTCGCGCGTGCCGTACGCTTTGGACGAAAACTTTGTTTCGGAGAGCTTCGACTGCACATTACGCAACCGGCCTAGGGAACATCGAGTGCGGTGGGTATGTGGGTGTGGGTGTGTCAGAGGTGCGGGCAGAAGGGAGGGGCAAGAGAGCATACGTGTGTTTTGAGTGTGTGTTTGCAGGCGCAAATGTAACGAAGCAAGAGACAGCATGGTGCATGTCACAACATGAGAGAGACAACACGAGCACCGCACGAATAGGTACCCAGATAGGGGAATTTCCTCGCCCCGAGGTGCTTCGCACGGTTCATCAGAAAGGGCAGGTCAAAGTTGGTGATGTTGTATCCTGCAAATGGCAGTCATGGCGATGGTTGCGGTGGTGGCAGATGGGGTTGAAAGAGAGTGTGTGGGCGCGCGCGTTTGTGTGTGTGTGTGTGTGTGTGTGTGTGTGTGTGTGTGTGTGTGTGTGTGTGTGTGTGTGTGTATGTATGTGCGGGGTGTTGGAGAACGCAAAGAACACTCGCAATCATCAATGAATCAATTGCCAATGCAGTGCACATCACCATGCATGAGACGGCGCCCCACCTGTGACAATGTCCGGATCGCACTCGCGGACAAAAGCGGACCAGGATTCCAGCAGCTCAATCTCCGTCTTGCAAGCAATCACCTGATACGTGACGTGTGTGTGTGTGTGTGCACGTGTGTGTGTGCACGTGTGTGTGTGTGTGTGGACGTAAGAAGAATAAAGCCCAGAGCCAGAGCCAGAGCCAGAGCCAGAGCCAGAGCAAGGCGAGAGCACGAGCGCTGCTGCACCAAAAGCACAGTGCATCCCGCCCTCTCACCTTTGAGCCGACAATGGGGGCACAAGTGCCGAGCGTGAATACGTTCCGCACAAACGGCTTCGATTCGCCTTCAACTTGCACCTGACAGAGCACAACAAACAGGTCGATGGTGGTGGTGGTGGATGGGAGGGGGGCGGAGTTCAGGTGAATTGAATGATAGGGAGGACAGCGGTGGGGAGGCAAGTGGAGAGATGCAAAACATTGCAACATTCAACACAGACAGACAGACAAGACAGACAGACAGACAGACAGACAGACAGACAGACAGACAGACAGACAGACACACGCACACAAGTTGAACACAACACATTCATGCACCATGTTTGCAATCTGGATGACGGGGTCCTTGTCTGGCTCGGGGAACACGCCCTTGCGGCCCGCGCACTCAATGTCAAACGACAAAATCCGAAGCGGCGCAATCTGCGCAGAGGCGGGAGAGAGAATGGAGGGTGTGTGTGTGTTTGTAAGTGTGTGTGTTGCATGCGTGACGTGTGGTTGTACGTGTGTTTGTACGTGTACGTGGGTGGGAATGTGATGAGAACAGTGCAGTAAGAGCGGTAAGTCCACACACATCAATCACAATTGCCATTACAATCATCTTTGTTGTCGTTGCTCAATGTCATCCCCATCCCCACCAGCACCATCACCACCACCATCACCATCACCATCACCATCATCATCATCATCATCATCATCATCGCACCTGCTGCCACTCGTCCTCCGCCGGGTGCGAAATGAACGCATCAAACGCGACATCAAGCTCATACTGCAGCGCACACAAACGGGCGAACACATGTGTATAAGTGCGGAGTGGGTGTTGGTTCAGTTTGTGTGGGCCAAAATGTGTGTGGTTGGATGCAAGTGCAAACAATGCTTGGGTGAGCGACAGGAACGTGGAAGGCGACGCGGTGATAAAGCACACACATACGCACAGACACACATACACACATACGCACAAATACACACACACACACACAGACATACGCACCTGCGCAAGTGAGACTGGCTTTGGCGTGGAGGAGAAGGAGCGGAATTTGTATTTGCCGGCAGGAACTTCCACCCAGTTGCACCCAACCTGGATTGCGTCATGTATGCGATTTGTGGGTTGTTCGGTGAACATTTGTGTGTGTGTGTGTGTGTTTGTGTTTGCGTGTGTGTGTGTGTGTTTGCGTGTGTGTGTGTTTGCACATGTGTGTGTTTGTGCAAATTGTAGTTTGACATGCGCTTAAATCGCTGTGCGCATGTACACACAAAGTATCCACACCACCATGCACGTGTGCGCTCGTACCAGCTGCGTCTCCACCATGAAGCGAAGGTTGAGTTCAAGATTGCTCTCGTACACCTCATACGACTGATGAAGCAATGGTGGCGATGGTGGCGATGGTGGGTCATGTGAGCGACGTGGTATCAGGGATCAGAGACCGGTGAGCAGCACACACGGACAGCGAAAGGGACATCAGCAGCATCAGCAGGAGCGACCGCAGCCGTACTTCCACCACACACACACACACACACACACACACACACACACACACCACAGACACACACACACACACACATGAGACAAGGGCAGTGACGCACTAGGGTGCCGAGCTTTGAGAGGGTGATGGTGCCTTGCTCAAGAGCGCGGCGGGCAGGGTTGATGAACTTGTGCTGCACAACTGATGATGGCGATGGTGGGGGGGGGGGGTGCACGTGTGGAATGTGAGCATGAATGAGGTGAGCGAGAAGGAATATCAGAGCCCTTGACACAAAGGCACGGGTGGAGATGCGTGGCAAAAAGAGAAATGAAAGCAATCATGTGGCAAGTTGCAAAGGTTGACGTGGACACAAAGCAGCTGTCGACAAGCGAGTAACCGCCTTACGATAAATCTTGAGGAAGGGCCGTTTGCCCGTTGCCTGCAAGCATTTGCACACACACGGTACGAATGTTGACCTGCCATGAGTACCCAGCCACAATAGCAACAGCATAGCATGCGCACGAAGACGAAGCAAACACACGCACGCACGCACGCACACACTCACACACGCACACACACACAGTCTGCACACATTTCTGTGCACACGTACGTGGAAGCCGTAGATGCTCTCCTTGCTGACAATTTCCACCATCATCACGACCTCAGGCACGTCCTGTCAATGGGTATGAGTGTGAGTGAATGACAGTGTACATGTGCACATGTGTGTGTAATGTGTGTGCATGAGTGTATGTGTATGAGCATGGGTGTTGCTAGTGGGGCTTCGACAGGAAGCAACAATAGCGAAATCATAGCAGCAGCACCAGCAGCAACAACAGCAACAACAGCAGCAGCAGCAGCAGCAACAACAGCAGCAACAACAGCACGGCCGCGAACCTTTGCGCTGGACGTGGTTTCCTTGATCTGCTTGTCGAGTGCCATCTTGAACTCGCCAAGCTGCCAGCCACCACACGTGTGCACACACAATCGAATCAGATGACGTAAAAAGAAACGCAGACAGGAGGAGAGGGAGAGAAATTGCGAGAGATGTATGCAAGAGAGCAGGAGAGAGCAGGAGAGGGAGAGATGCGAGAGGAACAACGCCAAAGCTCATCACACACACATGTGCACATGCACACCATGGACGGGGTGAAGTTGGCAGGCGCTGGTGTGTAGATGAAGGGGCAGAACCCGTGCACGTGCATCCTGTTGCACGGTGGAGAACGAAGCGAGGCAATATCAAGGAAGGACAAGAAGTGAGGTCTCAAACACACACACACACACATACACACACAAACACGCAAACATACAAACACACAAAAAACACACACAGACACACAATGTAGTTTTTCAACGCACAGAACGCTGTTGCCGCCCTTGGTGACGCCAAAGAGCCGGAAAATCTGCACGTTCCCGCGCTGCGGACCGGGCATGCCGGGCAGCGGCACGTCCAGGTACGAGTCGAGATCCAGCTGCTGGAACACAAACGCCTCTTTGCTGTCGAGGAGAAATCATGTCGCATCAAAGGAACGTGGTGTATGAGGGCTTGTGACTGAGCTACAAGCTAATTCCTTGTCAACAGGCAGGCAGGTTGTTTGACACTGACACTGACACAGTCACTCACACACACACTCACTCATTCGCACACACTCACACGCACACACACACACACACGCACACACGCGCGCGCACACTAACACACGCACACACACACACACACACTCACACACACATCCACTCACACTCACCTGGAATCCATGGGTTTGGCAGGTGGGCGCGCCACGTCAGAGATGCGCTCGCCGTTTGTGCCCATGTCGCCCAGCTCCTGTGAGCGTAAACCGAGCCCATGCAAACAAATCAGCGTTGACACACAGCTTGCCAATGATGCGTGTGTGTGTGTGTGTGTGTTCGTGTGCGAGATTGAAGGGCAGTCGCCATCGTGTTGGCACTTGAGTGTGGATATGGTCTCGCAGCAGCAATGGCAGGCTTACATCGACAAACGCCGAGTCCTGGCTTTCAGGGTTGCTGTTCTTGCCACCAGCCTTCCATTTCTTCGACCCAGACGCAGAGCGCTCCACACGACGCTTGGCGCCGTTGTCGCCATCGCTCAGTGATCTTGGCACGGTGGGCATCGCGGCGGTTCCTTTCGCTGGCTGCTGCTGCTGCTGATTATCCTGCTGCTGTTGATGATGCTGCTTGGAATCATCAACTGTCGACCACCACACGCAAAAGAAACGCACAGCAACGACAGTGAGCGCAGTTGACAGAGCAATGACAAACACGAGCACAATCATCTTGCTCCAGCAGCGCCACCACAACAAGTGAACAACAACAACAACAACAACAACAACAACAACAACAACAACAACAACAACAACAACAACAACAACAACAACAACAACAACAACAACAACAACAACAACAACAACAACAACAACAACAACAACAACAACAACAACAACAACAACAACAACAACAACAACAACAACAACAACAACAACAGCCATGTCACCCTCACCACTACACCACCATGCATGCATCACCGTATCCGTGCACGGACGTGTTTGCTGTTGTTGTTTTCGCGCGTCTTTGCTCTTTGGCGCGAACGAAAAGTCGTGCATGACATTCACCAATCGCCAACAACCACGATTTCTTCAGCGGAGCGGTGAGTCAGCAAAGCACAGCAAGCAGTGGTGGGAGCGCTGTGAGTGAGCGAGAGCGAGTGGAAGCTATGGTGAGCTGCGCTTCGGGTGGCTTCCTCCTTCATGTGTTTGTGTGTTTGTGTGTTTGTGTGTTGGTGTGTGTGTGTGTGTTGCATTCTGTTCATTTTGCTCATGTGTTTTGCGCGTGTGTTCCGCTATTGTGACACGCAGAAGAAGACGAACGAGAAGCAACGCCAAACAACACCATCTAGCAAGCGAGCCAAGGCGAAGAACAGCCAACCGACGATGGACAAGATCGCTTCCCGCTTTGCCCGTGCCAAGCAGGTGCTGTTCTATGGTTGTGGTTGCGGATGTGTGTAGGTGTGTGTTGGTGTGCGTCGGTGTGCGTTGGTGTGCGAATCTAGCGACCTGCTCATGCACGCTTGGCACTCGCACACGCTTGGCACTCATACACGCTTAGCACTCACACACTTGTCACTCATGCACGCTTGTCACTCACGTACGTTTGTCACTCATGCATGCACGCTTGGTACGTCGGGTGTTGCACACATGCGTGCAGTACACGGGCGAGAAGTTTGGCCGGGCCGAGAAGACGGAGTACGATGAGGATTTCACGGCCCTCGCCAACAAGACAGACGCCATGAAGACGTGAGTGCCTCGTATGTGCGGTCTGTGCGTTGCTGCTCGCTGAGAATGTGTGCAGGTGACTCTGTGTGCGTACATGTGTGTGTGTGCTTGCACATGAATGGCTGCGTTGTCTCGTGTGCGCAGCTTACACCGCCTCACCCTTCTCCCTGACCCTCTGTCATCATGTGTTTTGACCTGTAACAGGCAAACGGAGAAGATGCTGAAGGCGACGTCTGCATACCTCCAACCAAACCCAAGTGAGCAACTTTGACTCAGCCTTACTGTGCCGTTGCTCTTTCTCGTCACACTTGCGCTACCACACACACACACACACACACACACACGTGTACATGCATGTGTACATGCACATGTGCATACACCCATTGCACACACACACACACACACACACACACACACACACACACATTCACGCGTGGGCAGGCCGACGGTTTGAGGCGAGCGTGTATGCGCGACTGAAGCGGCCGTCACGTGCGCACATCAACGAGCTGGAAGCACTCGGCAACAGTTTCCTCGAGGCGGCCGATGCCGTGGGCACCGACACCCAATACGGTGCGCATATGTGGACAAGTGAACGGGAGGAGGGAGTGGTGTGTATGTGTGTGTGTATGTGTGTGTGTGTGAGTGTGTGTATGTGTGTGTGTGAGTGAGTGAGTGAGTGTGTGTGTGTGTGTGTGTGTGTGTGTGTGCGTGTGTGTGTGTGTGTGTTTGCGTGTGTGTGTGTGTGTGTGATGTGGAAGGAGGGGGCGTGGAGTCGAGTGATGGTTTGGAAGGTGGCATGGTCACCTCTCACACCACTCTGCAAACACTCTCACAAGCGACACACACTCACACACCACAACACAACACAGGTGCGGCGCTGCAGCGTGCAGGCGAGGCGGAGGTTTCCGTGGGCGCCCGGTTCACGGAGTTGACACGAGATGTGCAGTCGCAATTTGTTGAGCCGCTCAAGCAGTTTGTCCAGTCAGACCTCAAGCGTGCAGCGGTGCGTGGACACAGAGAGAAGAGGAAGGGGAAAGGCACAACACGCATGTACGTGGTGTGCGTGTGTGCATGTGTATGTGCGTGTGTGCGTGTGTGGATAATTGCGAGGTTAATTGTTCCTTGTTTCCATTCCACACTACGCTCGGTTTTGCACCCATCCCCACACCACCACCATCACCACCACCACCACCACCACCACCAATGTCAGGCCGAGCGCCGGGCGCTGAATTCGCTGCGTCTTGATCTCGATGCCGCCAAGTCGCGTGTCAAGAAGGCGTCTCCAGAGAAACAGCAGCAGGTGCTGTGTGTGTGTGTGTGTTTGAATGTGTCTGTGTGTGCGCGTTTGTGTCTGTGTGTGTATGCTTGTGTGTAACGTTGTGTTTGCACACGGTGCACAGCGACTGAGCAACTCCCCGAAGCAACCACACTCACGCCATCATCCTCCGTTCATCGTCACCGCCACCACCACCATCATCATCATTACCATCGTCATCAGGCGGAGGCTGAGCTGATGACGAAGCAGACCGTCTTTGACGACAAATACGAAAGCGTCAAACTCATCCTCGAAAACACCGACAAGAAAAACGTGCGGTGGTTTTGTGTGTGTGTGTGCGTGCGTGTGCGTGTGTGCGTGTGTGCGTGCGTACGTGCGTACGTGCGTTTCTTGAATCATGAGCTTCCGTGTTGCATTGCGCACTGCCTCACTCTTCTTGTGCAGGCTCACCATTTACTCCACACCACACACACACACACACATATACACATATCACCACGTGGGCTACGTTGCGTCAGGAGGAGCACGCGAGCCGGCTGCTGTCGCTGATCAAATCGCAGCAGCGCTACTTTGAGGAGGCCGCCAAAGAGCTGGCGGACCTCGCATCCGCTTTCGAGCAGTGAGTTGCACGCGCGTGGTGACAATGATAGTGCTAGTGGTGGTGGTGGTGATAGTGGTGGTAGTGGTGGTGCGTCGTAGTGGTGGTGATGGTAGTCGTCGTAGTGGTGGTGCGTTGTCGCGAACATTGGAGCATTTGCAGGCTGGAACAAGTGCAATTTCGAGATACGCCTCATCACTGTTGTGCATCTCACTCACGCGTGCACGTGTGTGAATGCGAAACACAGGGACATGGGCATTGCACAGGCAACGCCACCAAGCACGTAAGATGAACGGTCTTTGGCGTGGAATGTGATCGTGCACATGAGTGCATGTACATGTGTGCGTGTACAAGTGTGTGTACATGTGTGCGTGTGTGAACCCATGGACACCCTCACTTCATGCACGCGCGTGCAAATCCATGTGCATGTGCATGTGCATGTGCATGTGCGAACAATGAACGTGTGTGTGTGTGTGCATGCACATGTGCACAGGAGCGCTGATCCAAACATGGCGCCACTGGACGACACGTCGCTCGACAGCGAACCGCCGGTGGGGGTACGGTGACGTGGCAGGGGGGGAAGGTGATGCTGATGATGCTGTTCTCCGTTTTCACACATACACACACATACACACGCACACGCACACATTCACACGCACATTCACGCACGTACATTCACGCACGCACGTACATTCACGCACGCACATTCACACATGCACGCACATACACGCACGTACATTCACGCACGCACATTCACACATGCACATTCACGCACGCACATACCCAGATGACTGCCAAAGCGCTGGCGAACCGAAATGCGGAGAGCGAGGAGGAGTTGACCATCACCGCAGATGAAGTGCTGCTCGTGTTTCCAAACGACGCCTCCGTCCCGGAGGACTGGATCATGGCCGAGCGCGGCGGCAAACGGGGACGTGTGCCCAAGGACTGCCTCGAACTCAACTAAACGCACCCACACGCCACGCCTGACGTTCTTCTTTCAACACGGCGGATAACACTCTGTGTGTGTGTGTGCGTGTGCGTGTGTGTGTGTGTGTGTTCCTGAATGCCTGTGAAGCCCGTGTGTGTGTTGATTGACATGGGTGCGTGTGTGTGTGTGTGTGATTATGTGCGTGCGTGCGTGCGTGCGTGCGTGTGCGTGTGTGTTCCTGAATGCCTGTGTTGAAGCTCGTGTGTGTGTTGATTGACATGGTTGCTTCTCAGGCGCCATGCGTTTCCTTTACTCGATGCTGTGGTTTCGTTATGAAATGAAGCAATTCACACAGCACATACTGCATTCAGAAGTGGCAATGCATGGTCACGCATACGAAGACTCACAACAGTGTTGGAGAGACATCAATTACACACACACGCACACAGCCCCTCACACAAGACAAAACACACAGGCGCTGTTGCGTCAGTAGAACGCGGCAACACCGAGCGCGGTGAAGATGAGCAGTGAGCCAATGGCAACCGTGTACTGCAGGAGAATGCCCCGTGACATGCGCTCAGCAGATGCGCGTGCACCCTCCCGCTGACACACCACCACAAGAAGATTCGCAGTTGGCGTGATGCTCTGAATGCACAGCACGAGTTGAACAAGTGCGGCGTTGGCGCCACTGCCAAACACGTGTGGCCCAAGCCAGATGATGAGTCCAAGCTTGGAGCCGGGTAAGACAAGCATGGACGTCACAACAAACAGCACCAGGTTGCGGGCACCCCAGCTCGCTGCGGATTGGTGGTCCTTCTCTTGCTTCTGTTCTGGTGTTGTTGTGGCGTTGCTCGTGGCTGGGACAAGCAGCTTCAGTGCGGTTGCTGATGGTGGAACAGTAGCAGAACTTGTCGCACGAGCGTCATCCTGGCCGTTGGCCCGTGCAAGGGCAAGAGAAAGGTGGTTCTCTTCGAGGACACGATCAACGTCGATCAGCAGCACGCCGTTGTCGTCATACGAAGCGGGAACCGTGTGCTGCTGCTGGTGAGACGATGGCTGGTCTGAACATTGACTTGGACCAGCGAGCACCGCGCCCACGCTGATGCTGTCACGTGAAGCCATCAGTTGCACACTGCTGTTCGTACTGGTGTCATCGGGACCAGCAACTTCAACATCCTCCAGCGACCTCTTGTCTGCGGGCCTAAACATTCGAAGCAGCTTTGCCGCGTGCTCCCTCAGGTCAAGGCTGGGGATGGACTTGCCGAGCGTCACAAACATGACTGTTGACATGACCCCGACTACAGCTGCGGCGTACGTCTTGGCTGCAGATGTCGAGAAGAGCAGAGGTGCCTTGCCGCCAAAGAACAAATCCTGAGTTGGGCAAGGCAGGGAGCAAACGGCAAACGCAAGGGCGAAGGATGGGTGGATACCGTCGTGAGATGTAATGTGTTCAGTGTGTTGCATACGCGTAGGACGATGGGTTGGTGGATCTCTCTGTGTGTGACTGACACAGTGACATGTCAGCAAAGCACAAGCACAAGCATGCAAACAGCGTGTGTCGTGATGGACGGGAAAAGTGTTCAATGATCAGATATACTTTCACGTTCAGATGTGTGTGTATGTGTGTGTGTGTGTAGGAGGTGCGTGTTCTAAACTACGAGTACCTGAAGCTCTGGCACAAGCCCAACAACGAGGCCTGACAACGATCCGATGAGCGGAGGATTGAAGAAGTTGTTGACAAGCTGCTTCAGTGATTGCCATATGGTGGACGAACCCTCGCCACCTTGGTTCGCTTCAAGCGCTTGAGTCTCAGGCTGCCGTCGTCAACAACAAGCAACAAGACAAGTTTCACTGCATCGTGAGTTTTCGCGCGTTTCAAGTCTGATCAAGAGGGCAATCGATTGCACCATAAATTGGCTCGTTGGAAGCAAGTGGGTTATGGTGCTGTGAGCGCGGGGTGTGTAGGCCTGTGCAAGCCGGCAGAGCTTCGTGGAAACCGAACTTAGCCCGCTGATGTCACCAGCATTTCCCACTTGGCACTTACACTCAGGTGCTTGATAGTTTCAAGGCCGACTGTCCAGAAGTACAGGTACCAGCCCACGACAGACACGAAGACAAAGGCGGCCGATCGCTCTGAACAGGAGTCCTCCCCAGCGAGCTGTGACTGCTGGCAGAGAACCTGGTAGAACAGACCATCAACAAGCACGCACAGGCGACACACATCCACGCAAGGAAGCAAGCCATCTGGTCAGCGCATGTGCAAGCAATCGGCTGATCAATGCACTTCACGCACACACTCCTTCACGTCATCCTGTCACAGTGACGCGCTTTCTTCCCGCCCAACTCATGGACAAGGCACGCAAACGCAGCAACAATGCCAGGAGAAGGAAGGAGGCACTTTCACAGCTTGCTATGTAGGCGATGTGACTCACTGACCTCGAGCATGACCAGGGGCACCGCAATCATGTTGGGGTGTGAGCAAGCGAGAATGAACTCTTGCCGGAACTGCTTTGGAACAAGAAACACGCGGCACACAAGCCAGGCCACCAACGTGCCCAGCAGACACTGAGCTGAGCATCGTTCAAACACATTGCAAGTAACAGAGTAACCGGTGGCGTGCGTGAGTGATCGCAATAGATACGCGGGAGTGTTGCGCTGTGGCGTGTGCTCACTACCACAACTACGTTTCACAAGACTGCTCGTGCGTCGCGTGCAGGTGTCGTGATGACCAACACGGAACAGGGCCGGCGGTGGTATTGGGGCCGGTTTCCCACACATTCCAAGCACCATGCATGACGCAGTACAATTCAATGTCGCATATCCACGTCACACAATGCACTGCATACCACATACCGCCACAATGAGCACATCACAAAAGCACATCGCAGGCCCCCCTTTCTTCTAACCTGGTGCGTAGAGCACCATCGGCCACACTTCTTTCATGGTATCAATGGACAGGCGGCTTCCAAGCCGGGTGAATGCCAAGCATGGGATATACACGGTCGTCGCCACTTTTGCAATCTGACGAATGGATGACTGTTGCAGCATGCCTACACCGAACAGAAAGCAAAGGCATCGTGACAAACTTGGGGCAAAACGAAACGCGCCAGGCGCGTGCTTCACAATCGGTCCCACAACCTGCTGAACGACTACCAGACATAGCCAAATTCGTTGCAGCGCGATGGCGGGAGACCAAACCACCGACCTGATAGACGAACATCGCCAGATGGGTGCTTTGGATAGTGTGCCACGAAGACGCCCACGAGACTGAGCATCAGCACAGAGCCCACGGTGGATGCTGCCACAGCCACGACATCGCCTGATATGTCGAGGCCGCCCATGTCGTCGGTGTGTTGGGTTGTGTTGTGAGTTTATTTGGTGTGGTGTGGTTGTTGTGTTGTGTTGTGTTAGTTGTGTTGTGTTGTGTTGCGTTGTGGTGTTTGTTCTGGTGTGTTTGTTCTGGTGCGTTGTCACGTGTTGTGTTGCACCTGCCCTGTGGTGTGGTGTGGGGGAATCAATGGTTATGTTGTGTTGTGCGGTTTACTCATCACGGGTGTGGTTATGTACTTGCCGATGACGTCATTACCGGCACGCCCACATACCTCCTCCTACCGACTTCATGAAGTTGAACTACTTTCACAAAGCATCAAACGCCCACCAAGCGCCAAGCAGCAAGCGCCAAGCACCTAGCACCTAGCACCATCATTTGACCAAGACGGGTGTGGTTATGTACTTGCCGATGACGTCATTACCGGCACGCCCACATACCTCCTCACAAAGCATCAAACGCCCACCAAGCGCCAAGCGCCAAGCACCAAGCGCCAAGCGCCAAGCACCTAGCACCTAGCACCATCATTTGACCAAGCACCACTTCACCAAGCACCAAAAGCACCAAACACGAAGCACCATGGCCAGCCAAGACGACGTGCAGCCCGTGTTCCTGATTGGATGCCAGCGGAGCGGTTCCAACCTCCTTCAGCTTCTGCTGTCTTTGCACGATAAGGTCGCAGCACCCCATCCTCCCAAGTACCTCGACGAGGTTCTCCCGCGCGTTGTTGACGAGTCTCGCCTCCAAGATGACGCCACCTTTGAGGCATTTGTCTCACTCTCCCGCAACATCGTGCGCGCCAATCCTGTGCCCTGGGAGAGCATGGATGGGGTGAGCACGCAGGAGGTTCTCGAGGCATGCGCTGAACGCAGCGTGATGGGTGTCTTCGATGCCCTCATGAACACCAACGCCATTCAAGGCGGCTGCACCAAGTGGATCTGCAAGGCCATGAACTACTCCAAGCACGCCGACAAGCTTGTCGACTACTACGGAAGCCGTGTCAAGTTCATCTACCTCTACCGCGACCCTCGTGAGGTGGCCCTGTCCTTCACCAAGGCTATCGATGGTGAGAAGCACGTGTACGCCATCGCCAAGAAATGGGCCAAGCTGCAGGACCACGTGCAACACGTGCTGCAGACCTACCCCAAACAAGTCATCAAGGTTTCGTACGAGGAGCTGACAGCAGACCCAGACTCAACGCTGCAGCGCCTCTGCACCTTCCTCGGCTTCAAGTTCAACCCAACCTACCGCCAGGACTTTGCGCAGAGCGAGGAGGGGCGCAAGCGGGCCGCAGCGTCCGAGATGTGGCGCAACCTGGCACAGGGTGAAATCTTGGCAACGAACACCGAGAAGTACAAGAAGCAGCTCACGGAGGACCAGATCAAGATTGTGGAGCGAGTGACCAAGGAGCACCTGCTCGGCCTCGGCTATTCCTTGATGTTTCCAGCCAGCGTGGATACGCCCTTCTCCACCGAGGAAGTCGGCGCGTACGAGGAGGAGAATGCCGCACTGAAGGAGTCGGTCCTGGCCAAGAGCGACCCAGAAGACGTGCGTCGTCGCCAAGCTCTCAAGAGCCTCTACGAGAGCATCCCGGCCACCCTTGGCATGCAGTGATCTCCTGTTTTGGGGTTGTCTGTCTTTCTACATGTATGTGTGTGTGTGTGTGTGTATGCGCGCGTGCACCTTGAGTGGGCCATGCAAGCATGCACGGATCACGAATCCCTGCGACTTGCATTAATGTCGAAAAACTGTCGAGTAAATTCTAGATTTGTTGCATTCCACATGAAGTCAGTCAGGTCTTATTACAAATTGTGTATTCGATCACCGCGTGACCAGGAAGCATGCGAGCGTGGCCATGGGTACCCAGACACCAAACACGAGCGGGTGGAGCCACACGCAAACAGCATGCAACGCCCGCGCATGTGCGAATATCATCCCCACCTCCACGGGTGACCACGCAGTAAGCGCCGCGATCACACTCACCGGGTGCACAGAACACACCACAAACCGCGCTGCCCACAACCGCATCCTGGCCTTACAGTTCCCCCATGCCCACCACCCACGCCTCTCACTGCTGGCGCTGCTGGCGCTGCTGGCGATGGCACTGTGTCTGTCATCACGCCAATGGCAACGGTTGCTGCTCTCGGTCTGACTGCGCATTGTGCACGACAGCGATGCCAGCATGAGAGGCCAGCAGCCGAGCGACAAGATGGCGATGAAGATGCCAAGGTTCAAAACCATCACCGTTGCACACAGCATCCCGCCAACCAGCAGCAGCACAACTGGCAACGCAGCCCACACCTCCTCCTCCTCCTCATCGCTTCGAGCCGTGGCAGGGGCAGGGGCAGGCTCACCACTGGGACCAGTGACGGTTGTGTTCTCCTTGTCACCAACGTGCCCTCCAAGCTCATCTCCACCATCTCCAGCATCATCTGCTTCACCTTCACAATGATCATCATCTCCACCACCGCCTCTGTCGTCATCGCCGTCACCAGCGACATCCAGCAGCACGTTGGCCGTGGCTCTGGCTGCCGCAACGCCAGCAAGACACGCGAGGGTGCATGCGATTGCATACACAACGGGTACCAGCGCAGCTGTCGATGTGTCAGCGGGGAGCGGCGCCGTGGTGCGCGCAACAAACGCCGACACTGCCTGATCTACTGCTGGCGGTGATGATGGCGATGATGGCGATGATGGTGGTGACGATGATGAGACCGGAGCGGGGTTGCTGCCGACGTGGAAGGTGATTCCCATATTGACGAGTGCGCGGGCGGTTGCGAGCACGACGTCATCAAACGACAGCAACGGAGACGCAGCCGACACTGATGACGCCGACTGCGTTGCGTCTGCATTCGCTGTGTTGAGCGTGGGCGAGTCTGCTCCAAACAGCGACGTGTGTGCATCTGTCGGCGCGCGCTGCAGCAGCTGCTGCTGCTGCTGCTGCTGCTGCTGCTGAAGCACGAGTGCCAGCGGCAGTGCGAATCCTGCAACGGACAACAGGACCGCCTGTCCAATTGCCACTGTCCGTGACCTGATCGACCAAGGCAGATGGTTGAGACGCAGCCCAGCAACGCAGGTGCCCGGAGTATCATCAGTAGCAGCGGTAGCTGCCTGTGCAGGGGTATTGCTGTGAAGTACAGATGCTGGCGCAGCACCCATATCCCCCTCCTCATCATCGTTCAGCGACGATGATGAAAGGGAAGATGAAGATGATGATGACGATGATGATGATGACAGCGACGACGACGATGATGATGACCACGACGCAAGCGTTCCTTTCTCATCCAAACCCTCACTGTCTCTTTCCTCCGCTACCACTTCCTCCTCACTGCTGCCATCATCATCACCACCGCCAACATCAACATCATCACGAGCAGCATGAGCATCTTGTGCTTGCTCTCCTTCTCTTCGGGCGCGGTTCCTCCGCACCGCAACTGCGGATGTGTCCCGCGTTTCGCTGCCATCATCACCACCACTAGCATCACCATCACCACCACGATCCACACTCGCTCTGCCATCACCATTATCGTCAAAATCATCATCAAGAACATCATCAACATCAGCACGATCGTTGTCGTTGTTGCCCTTCACTGTCAAGTCACCACCGAGCTTCAGCCACGCCACCATCACCCGCACCACCACTGCCACCAACGCAGCCATCCAGCCGGGAAGGTACCGGCCTATGGACACAAACCGCTGACGCGCGAGCAGAAAGTAGTAGGTGAAGGACAGGTTAAACCGCTGGCCCATGTTGTTCATGGAGCGCAAGGCGCCCTCCAGCAGGCCCAGGTACTGCTGCAGGTGGTACCGCCCCTTTCTCGATTGGGAATGCTCGGAAGGCGAGCGCATTGGTACAGTGCGGACCGTGAAAATTGGGATGTTCTCGTTCAGCAGCGCGGCATGGTATCCACTGGGCAGACACGTGGCCTGTGCGATCAAGGAATGGAGGCCGGGGGAGGGGGTTCAGAATGCGTGTGCGTGTTTTGTGTTTGCATGTGTGTGTGTGTGTGTGTTTGCATGTGTGTGTGTGTGTGTGTGTGTGTGTGTGTGTGTGTGTGTGTGGTCACCTGCTGCAAGAGCGATTTGCCGAGGACATCCAGCTGTGTTTCAAATACGGATGTCGAACGCGCAGATGTCTGCACCTGCTGGGTCGCATGTGCGTGCATAAAGGAATACACGTGAGATTGGATGTGTGAGCAAGACCATGGGTACAATGACGAAGCATATATGCATAGTTGAATTGGCACACGTGGCGGCACATTCTCGTATTCGCTCACACGTCCAAACAGACAGACAGACAGACAGACAGACAGACAGACAGACACACACACACAGACACACACACACACACACACACAGACACACAGACACACACACACACACACACACACACACACACACACACACACCCAACCTGATGCCCGACTGTGGTTGGCAGGCGGGACGCCATGAGGACGAGGACCAAGTCCATGTTGGGCATCTGACCATTGAATCCCATCAGGTCCAGATGGATGGCATCAAAGGTGGGCTGTGATGCAGCCACTGTCAGCCCGGACTCAAGCGCCGCTGGAACAGGGACGGGCAGCTTGCCTGTCACACATCCAAGTCACACAGATACAGCAAATAGTGTATCAGGATCAGCTTGTTGAAGCATTGAAGGGAAGAACAGTGGCGGTGACAATTTACACACACACACACACACACACACACACACACACACACACACACACACACACACACACACGACACACATATGCACACACACACACACGACACACACATGCATACGCCAAACACACACACACACACGCACGCACACGCACGCACGCACACGCACGCACGCACACATACACAAACCATTCAAGTGAGCCTGCGTCCAAGCGAGCGCCCCTGCGTGTCCCTGCGACGTGAACAACAGCACAACATCCTTGGCCCAGAAGGATTGGCCTAGCAAGGCGAAGTACCGGAACACAATCAATGATCAAAGCAAGTTGTCGTTTAGGGTGTTGACCAGCCAGTAGTGGCACACAGCCTCACAGGAGTATGACAGCACAGTGAAAGAAGTACGGTGGGATCTACCTGCGATGTGCTGGGCGAGAATTACGGCACTGGCAACGCCGTTGGCGTTGCCTGGCTCCAGAGGCGCGTGCAACACCATGCCCTCGGTGCCGTCACCCCGCGAAGACCGCACGATCGAGTACACGTTGGAACTATCTGACGTGAAGTTGTGCATGACAGGGCGCAGCCCCCGCTGCTGCAGCTCGTCCGCAATGGCATGTGTGTCGAGACCTGTGTGTGCAAGGGCATCCGCCAGCCCCATTGCTGCCAGTGCCATCTCCCGAGTAACAGCTTCGTAGTGTGGGAAGGAAGAGCGTGTGAAGCATGAAACGGGGAACGTGTGAGGTGTGAGGCGTGAGCTGGTTCAAGATACACAAGGTGCATGAGGTGCACAAGGCGCATCAAAAGGCGCGAGGTGCAAAATGTCATACAGCACACACACACAGACACAGACACACAGACAGACAGACACACACACACACAGACACAGACATACAGACAGACACACACACACAGACACAGACACACAGACACACAGACACAGACACACAGACACAGACACACAGACACAGACACACAGACACAGACACACAGACACAGACACACACACACACACACACACACACACACACACACACACACTTACTCGGGCCAGCGGCGCCCGTGATGAGCGCATTCTCTTGTTGGTGCACGGGCTCGTTCACATCGTCCAAGCACATGAGACCCAACGAGGCAATGCCAACGCAAGTCAGAAGCACCAGCACTGGCACCTCAAACCTGCTCACGGCAGCCACCAGCCGCCGCTGTCTTGCTTCCTCCGTCAGCAAACCCATCCTCAGCGACTGAATTCAGGCACAAAGGGGGAAAACTCGCTGAAATCTTACACTGCTCCCAGCGCTCAGAGATGGGGAAAGCAATTGCGGCAAAACAAGGGGCAGCGGTGTGCATGGGCGAATGGGTGTGAGAGCAGGCGCCTCATAGATAGAAAGAAAAGTGAATCAATAGATAGATAGAAACCAAGTGCCTCGGTGCGAGGCTCATGTGTAGTGCTGCGACTGTCGCTTAGACAGTGTGTGTGTGTGTGTGTGTGTGTGTGTGTATGTGCATATGTGTGTGTGTGTGTGTGTGTGTGTGTGCTGACGCACTCGCGCACCTCTGCTGTTGCGAGTGCCATGTCGATGTTGTTCTTGTACAGTTGCATCGACGCAAGCAAGACAGTAGAACAGCGGTGCATATATCCCAACCCCCCCCCCCTCAACCTCGCCCCGTCTGCAGCTCTCACTCGCCGACTCTGTCACTCTTCAGCTGTGTTGACAACACACTAACACAGAGCAAATAATGAAACATAGACCAGCCAAAGCAAAGAAAACATGGTCTCTCTCAACAGCAGGGGTAACGAACAGATCAGGCTGAACACAAGCAAAGGAAAGTCATCAGGAAAGTGTAACGAGTGTAGTGTGCTTGAAACCATCAAGTGACCAAGCTAACATGCGCTCAGGGCGCTGCCGTTGTCGTTGATGCCGTTGAAGGTGCGGGTGTGGTGAACTCCATGAAGGCTCCAGACCCACTACCACTCAGGTCGGCAGTCGAAGTTGTTGTTGTTGTTGTTGTTGTTGTTGTTGTTGTTGTTGTCGTCGTCGTCGTCATGGGCATGGTGAGCGAGCCACTTCCACCAGCGTCTGAGGACGTTGGAGCTGAAGCAGTGGTTGACGTAGACATTGTTGGTGAGAGAGTCAAAGAACCACTACCACTGCCAGGGGCTGTGGTGAGTGTGGCTGTGGTTGGCATGGTGCTCGTGCTTGTGACAACGACAGTCGTCGTCGTTGCTGTCATTGTTGTTGTTGTTGTTGTTGTTGTTGTTGTTGTTGTTGTTGTTGTTGTTGTTGTTGTTGTTGTTGTTGTTGTGATGACAAAGGAACTAGTTGTGGTGGTGGTGTCCACTGCCAAAGAGGTAGTGGTAGTGGTCGTGGTAGTAGCAGTAGCAGTTGTAGTAGAAGTTGTTGTAGAAGAGGAGGATGACGAGGATGTGGAGGATGACGAAGAAGACGACGTCGATGATGATGACAATGTAGTAGTAGTTGTAGTTGTAGTAGTTGTTGAAGAGGAGGACGTTGAGGATGACGAAGAAGACGAAGTTGATGACATCGTTGTAGTTGTCGTGGTTGTAGGTGTAGTTGTAGTTGTAGTCGTAGTGGTAGTTGTTGCTGTTGTAGTGGTAGTCGTAATTGTGGTTGTAGAAGTTGTTGTTGGTAGCGATATTGTCACCGTGCCACTGCCGACCTCCGTGGTCGACGTTGTTGTCGTGTCAACCTCTGTCATGGTGGTAGTAATGGTTGTGTCAGGAACAGAAGTGGTAGATGTCGTCGTCACTTCGAACATCTTCGTCGTCGTCGCTGTTGTCGTCGTTGTAGTTGTTGTCGTCGTTGTAGTTGTTGTAGTAGTAGTAGTAGTAGTAGTAGTAGTAGTAGTAGTAGTAGTAGTAGTAGTAGTAGTCGTAGTAGTAGTAGTAGTAGTAGTAGTAGTAGTAGTAGTTGTTGTTGTTGTTGTTGTTGTTGTTGTTGTTGTTGTTGTTGTTGTAGTTGTTGTAGTAGTAGTAGTAGTAGTAGTTGTAGTAGTAGTAGTTGTAGTTGTTGTTGTTGAAGAGGAGGAGGAGGATGACGAGGACGTGGAGGATGACGAAGAAGACGACGTCGATGATGATGACAAGGTTGTTGTTGTTGTTGTTGTTGTTGTTGTTGTTGTTGTAGTTGTTGTTGTTGTTGTAGATGTTGTTGTTGTAGATGTTGTTGTTGTTGTTGTTGTTGTAGATGTTGTTGTTGTAGATGTTGTTGTTGTTGTTGTTGTTGTTGTAGATGTTGTTGTTGTTGTTGTAGATGTTGTTGTTGTTGTTGTAGATGTTGTTGTTGTTGTTGTTGTTGTTGTTGTTGTTGTTGTAGATGTTGTTGTTGTTGTTGTTGTTGTTGTTGTTGTTGTTGTTGCAGAGGAAGAAGAAGAAGACGACGTCGATGACGATGACAACGTTGTTGTAGTGGTTGTGGTCGTCGTAAACTCAACCTTCTCACTCGTTGTTGTTGTTGTTGTCGTCGTCGTCGTGATGACATCACCCTCATGCATACACTCGCGACCAATTTCGCCGGTGCCCACGGGTACAACGCCGCGAACGTGATCACAATCGTCCAGACAACCGCCAGCGTGCAAGTACTTGCTTGACCCGCACAGCGTGCACTCCCCTGCATCACCCGATGGGAGCAGGTCGCACGATACGCAGAACGCCGTGCCGCAATCGCACGGCTCGCCGCTGTCAAGGGCAACACCGTTGATGCACATGGATAGATCCAGCATCATGGTGGACGTTGTTGTCGGCATTGCCGTGGTGGCCGTTGTCGTCGTCGCCGTGGCGGCGGTCGTCGTCGTTGTCGTGGTGGTGGTGGATTGAGTGTCCATTGTCTCATTGACGCAGCGGCTGCCAAAGAAGACGGCGTTCGATTCCACATAACCATCCTTGAACGTGCAGTTCGTGTGGCAGCGGCCATCCAGCAGGAACCGGAAGTTGGAGCAAAATGTGCACGTCGCTGCATCCGCCATCACATCCACATCGCAGGCGAAGCAGTCGTTCAGGTTGCATTCACAGGCCTCCCCTGTGACGTCGTCTTCCCCACCAACACACGACACAACAGGCACCGTTGTTGTTGTTGTTGTTGTTGTTGTTGTTGTTGTTGTTGTTGTTGTTGTTGTTGTTGTTGTTGTTGTTGTTGTTGTTGTTGTTGTTGTAGATGTTGTTGTAGTCGTAGTACTCGTGGTTGTCGTCGTAGTACTCGTCGTGGTACTCGTCGTGGTACTCGTTGTTGTTGTTGTTGTTGTTGTTGTTGTAGTAGATGTTGTAGATGTTGTTGTTGTTGTTGTTGTTGTAGATGTTGTTGTAGATGTTGTTGTTGTTGTTGTTGTTGTTGTTGTTGTTGTTGTTGTTGTTGTTGTTGTTGTACTCCTTGTTGCTGTTGTTGTTGTACTCCTTGTTG